AGTGTCAGCTATCCACCAATCCCTAGTGGACCCCAAATTCATCAACCCAGAGGCCCAAGTGATGATTCAACCTTTCAAGGCAACCTCTTTTGACTTGCCTACAGCCAAGTTGCCTGTCCAATACAAGGGCTGGTCAAGAATGTGGACTTTTGCAGTCTATAATGATTATCCCATTCCCATGCTGCTCGGGGAAGACTTGGCCAACCATGTGAAGCTAGCCAAGAGGGTGGGAATTGTCAGCCACAGCCAGGCTAAGCAAGCCTTCATACCTAGCTCTGTTCCTGAGCCTTCTACAAGGGCCCAGTCTGTGTTACCAGAGACCCAGACTGAGGTGGTGGAACCGGAGCCCACCTCAACGTCTGCGACAGCAGTAGTGGATCCAGTCCCAGAACCGGAACTGGCAGAGCAACCAGAACCAGAACCATTGGCAGCACTGAATCCAGCATTTACAACCCAGTCAGCAACTCTAACACCAGAGGACACCACCAAGCCCGCACTGGTAGCAGCAGCTAAACCTGCGCAAGAGGCTCAAGCGGAGCCTGAAACCCAACATAGTGCACCAGCGGAGAGCGGTTCACAGTCAGCAGAAACAGCCCTATTACCTACATCGCTTCCAGAGGGACCAAGCCCAAGTCCACAATCCAGTGCAGAACTGATGTCTCCAGCATCAAGGGAACAGTTCCAGGCTGAGCAGGAAGCAGACGAAAGCTTCCAGGGAGCTTGGATGGCAGCATGGAACAACCCACCACCTCTCAGCTCTTCTAATAGATTCCAGTTTGTGGTAGAAAGAGGACTTTTATAGAAGGAAACTCTTTTGGGTAGGCACCAGGAAGACTGGCATCCTCAAAGACAGTTGGTAGTTCCAACTAAGTACTGGGTAAAGCTCTTGAGCTTAGCCCACAATCATCCTAGTGGCCATGCTAGGGTGAACAGGACCAAAGACCGTTTGGGGAAATCATTCCACTGGGAGAGAATGGGCAAGAACATTTCTACCTATGTCCAGTCTTGTGAGGTGTGCCAAAGAGTGGGGAAAACCCCAAGACCAGGTCAAAGTCCGTCTCCAGCCGCTCCCCATCATTGAGTTTCCATTTCAGCAAGTAGCTGTGGATATTCTGGGTCGTTTTCCAAAAAAGACACCCAGAGGAAAGCAGCACCTACTGACTTTCATGGATTTTGCCACCTGATGGCCAGAAGCAGTAGCTCTAAGCAACACCAGGGCTAAAAGTGTGTGCCAGACATTAATAGACAGACATTTTTGCAAGGGTAGGTTGGCCCTCCGACAACCTTATGGATTCGGGAACTAATTTTCTGGCAGAAACCATGAAAAGCCTTTAGGAAGCTCATGGGGTGAACCACTTGGTTGCCACCCCTTACCACCATCAAACAAATGGCCTGCTGGAGAAGTTTAATGGAACTTTGGGGGCCATAGTATGTAAATTCATAAATGAGCACTCCAGTGATTGAGACCTAGTGCTGCAGCAGTTGCTCTTTGCCTACAGAGCTGTACCACGTCCCAGTTTAGGGTTTTCACCATTTGAACTTGTGTATGGCCGCAAGGTTAAGGGGTCATTACAGTTGATGAAACAACAATGGGAGGGGTTTACGCCTTCTCCAGGAACTAACATTCTGGACTTTGTAAACAACCTACAAAACACCCTCCGAGACTCTTTAGCCCTTGCTAGAGAAAAGCTAACAGATGCTCAGGAAGAGCAAAAGGCCTGGTATGATAAACATGCCAGAGAGCATTCCTTCAAAGTCGGGGACTGGGTCATGGTCTTGATGGCGCTCCAGGCCCATAAGATGGAAGCATGGTGGGAAGGGCCATTTGCGGTCCAAGAGCTCCTGGGAGCTGTTAACTATCTCATAGCATCCCCCATCTCAAACCTAAAGCCTAAAGTGTACCATGTTAATTCTCTAAAGCCTTTTTATTCCAGAGAATTAAAGTTTTATCAGTTTACAGCCCAGGGAGGAGATGACGCTGAGTGGCCTGAAGGTGTCTACTATGAAGGAAAAAGTGACAGTGGCATGGAAGAGGTGAACCTCTCCATGACCCTTGGACATCTGCAGCGACAGCAAATCAAGGAGCTGTGCACTAGCTTCACGTTAATGTTCTCAGCCACCCCAGGATGGACCGAACGGTCATACCACTCCATTGACACAGGTAATGCTCGCCCAATTAGAGCCCAACCTTACCGGTTGTCTCCTCAAGCCAAAACTGCTAAAGAACAGGATATCCAGGACATGCTACAGATGGGTGTAATCCGCCCCTCTAACAGTGCATGGGCATCTCCAGTGGTTCTAGTTCCCAAACCAGATGGGGAGATACGCTTTAGCGTGGACTACCATAAACTAAATGCTGTAACTCTCCCAGACAACTATCCAATGCCATGCACAGATGAGCTATTGGAGAAACTGGGACATGCCCAGTTCATCTCTACCTTAGACTTAACCAAGGGGTACTGGCAAGTACTGCTGGATGAATCTGCCAAGGAAAGGTCAGCCTTTATCACCCATGTAGGGCTGTATGAATTTAATGTGCTCCCTTTCAGGCTGTGAAATGCACCCAGCACTTTCCAAAAACTTGTAGATAGACTCCTAGCAGGATTGGGAGAATCTGCAGTCGTCTACCTTGATGATGTGGCCATCTTTTCTGATTCATGGGCAGAACACATGGAGCATCTGCAAAAAGTCTTCAAGCGCATAAGGGAGGCAGGACTAACTATTAAGGCTAAGAAGTGTCAAATAGGCCTAAACAAAGTGACTTACCTTGGACACCAGGTGGGTCAAGGAACTATCAACCCCCTACAGGCCAAAGTGGATGCTATCCGAAAGTGGCCTGTCCCAAAGTCAAAGAAACAGGTCCAATCCTTCTTAGGCTTGGCCGGATATTACAGGTGATTTGTACCGCAATACAGCCAAATCGCCGCCCCACTGACAGACCTAACCAAAAAGAAACAGCCAAATGCTGTTCAGTGGACCGAAGAGTGTCAGAAGGCCTTTAACCAGCTTAAAGCAACATTCATGTCTGACCCTGTGCTAAGGGCCCCAGACTTTGACAAACCTTTCCTAGTAACCACAGATGCATCCGAGCATGGTGTGGGAGCAGTTTTAATGCAGGAAGGACTGGATCAAGAATTCCATCCTGTCATGTTTCTCAGCAAAAAAACTGTCTGAGAGGGAACGCCACTGGTCAATCAGCGAAAAGGAATGTTACGCCATTGTGTACGTGCTGGAAAAGCTACGCCCATACATTTGGGGACGGCGTTTCCACCTGCATACCGACCATGCTGCGCTGAAGTGGCTTCACACCATCAAGGACGATAACAAAAACCTTCTTTGTGGGCGGTTAGCTCTCCAAGATTTTTATTTTGAAATAGAACAGATTTCAGGAGCTTCTAACAAAGTGGCTGATGCACTCTCCCGTGAAAATTTCCCAGAATCAACTGGTTAAAATCATACTTGAAATGTGGAAAATATTGTTAATTTTTATATAAACAATAGTATATCTAGAGGTGCATGTGTCTTATTAATTCTGTTTTCTCCTAGAGCTCCAGGAAGAAATCACAGCCAGTGTGGAGCAGGCTGTCCAGCACGGTCTATGATTTGGGGGGGCGTGTCATAAGCATACAGCCAAGGATAGTATAAAATCCCTCCTTTACCTGTAAAGAGTTAAGAAACTCAGATAACCTGGTTGGCACCTGACCAAAAGGACCAATAAGGGGAGAAGATACTTTCAAATCTGTGGGGGAAGAGTTTTGTTTTGGGCTTTTGTTGTTCTCTCTGGCGACAAAGAGAGAGAGACCAACCAAGTAATCCAGCTCCTACTGAATGATACATCTAAAATGACAGAAATAGTAAGTAATAGCAAGGAAATGTGTTAGAGTATCTTTTGTTTTAGCTTGTGAATTTTCCCTATACTAAGAGGAAGGTTTATTCCTGTTTTTTTGTAACTTTAAAGTTTTGCCTAGAGGGGAATCCTCTGTGTTTTAAATCTTATTACCCTGTAAAATTATTTTCCATCCTGATTTTACAGAGGTGTTTCTTTTACTTTTTTTCTTTATAATAAAGGTTCTGTTTTTAAGAATCCAATTGGGGCTTTTAGTGTCCTAAAAACCCAAAGGGTCTGGTCTGTGCTCACCTTGTTTACTTTCAAGCCTCCTCAGGAAAGGGGGTGAAGGGGCTTGCGGGGGATATTTTGGGGAAACAGGAACTCCAAGTGGTCCTTTTCCTAAATCTTTGTCTAACTCACTTGGTGGTGGCAGCAATACCGTTCGAAGGACAAGAAAGAATTTGTGCCTTGGGGACGTTTTTAACTAAGCTGGTAGAAATAAGCTTAGGGGGTCTTTCATGTGGGGTCCCCACATCTGTACCCTAGAGTTCAGAGTGGGGAGGGAACCCTGACGCCACTCAAGAGAGGCAACATGTGGGGAGCCAGAAGCCTAAGAATGGATGCCCTTACTGCACCACTAAGGGGAAATACAGGTGCAGTTGCCTTGAACTGTGACACCGCTGATATGAGGAAAACAATGGCAGTGCAGCAGAGGCAAGAGACAGTACTCCACTCCTAGGAGTCAGTGACAATTGTTGAGTGATTCCTTTTACTGAGTGAGCTCCACAGCATGCTCCTTAGCTGTCTGGGACAGTCACCACCACTTGAGGAAAGAGGGGAGAGAGTTTTGAAACAGAGATGGAACTGAGCCAAATACCACCTACCTACCCCTTGACCTAGGAGGCTGTTCAGACTCTGAACCATATGCAAATGTTGCAAATTTTGAAGTTTTACAAGTCATCTTATGTGCTGAACCACTAGACCTGAACACCCCTACGCTTTGATGTTTGAAATTCAGATGCCCTTTTATCACCATAAGAGAACCTCTTGAAATAAGGTAGATGTGATTGTATATGGAAGTGTTGACATGGCAGGGTTTCCATTAAGAACCCAGCACTGTTCAGGAGCCTCCATTCACTTGCTCTAGGGCTGGGATTCAGCTTGGACTTACATCAGCATCTCCACGTAACGGGTGTTTTTATTCAGGGCTTCAATGTCCTTCATTTCCTTGCCAGTGAGTGAGAAGTCAAAAATCTAGGGAAAAAGAGGAGATTAGGAGTAATCTGCAGCAAGGGAGATTCAGTGTTTACTTGATCTCTCACTGTTGCACTACTACACATGGGAGCACTAGTGTAGACCAGCTGCTGGAGTTTTAGCCTGCTCAGAATAGGTCTAGATGACACTGATGAAGAGTCCAGTGTCCTGTCCATACTAGCTTCCCCCTCTATTGCACCATCACTAAGTGATAGAAATGATGGTGAGTAAGAGTCAACATAGAAAAGGTTTCCGGGATGGTTAAGCCTCCTCTCCGCCTCAGGAGAGAAGGGGAAGATGTTCTAAGCAGGGGTCAGCAATATCAGTGGAGCAGAGACAAATCTATAACTTACCTGGAAGTTTTCTTTGATCCGCTGTGGATGGAAGCTTTTGGGAATGACCACCACCCCTCGTTGGATGTTGAAGCGCAGAACAACCTGTGCTGCCGTCTTGTTGTATTTTTCCCCAATGGCATTCAGCACAGGGTCCTTCAGTAAAGGAGGGGAAGACACATTTACCCTTGAATTGGGGGGGGGGGGGGGAAGGAAAAAGAAGGGTGTTTTATTTTGATTCTGGAATATTTAAAGAAAAGAGGCAGAGAGCAGAAATCTGAAGCAAAAACTGATTCAGACAATCTGTTATGAAATGAAGATTAATTCTAAATGCATCAGTTATCACCATGTTTATACTGTTTTCCCACTGCCTCTGTCAAACAATAAGATTTGTGGAAGTAACATGCGTAAGTTCATCTGCCCACTCTCGACCTGCAGTTTACAGATCATGAGCCAGCACTCATCCTATTCAATATGGAAAGTGTTTGGAAAAGTTTGATTGTCAAATATATTACAGTAGTACATGAGCTGAACAGTAAATCATACAATAAGATTTGGAAGGCAGTTAGTCTCTCACAGGAAGCAACACCCGTTGGAACTTTTACAAGTAAACAGAACAGGACTCTAGGAAAGAGTACCAAGGGGATCAGTCCTACATGAGCAGAGAGATGGACTGGGTGATCTAATAAGTTGTCCACCTCTAACCTCTGATCAGGTTCAAAGCATACAGGCATCTTCTAGCCTTTGGGAAGCCTGATACTGTATCTTTGTTTCCTGATAATCCTGATCTGCTTCTGAGTCAGGTATTAAACAGCCCAGATCAAGTTATCATGGGATCAGTTGTGTGGAGAAGAGAGGAGAGATGTTCCTCATGACTTCTAGGAAGAGTTCTACTTGTTTTCCACTGGGTAGGGCCTCTGTTCTGTTTGGTGCCCTAAACGATCTAGTGTTTGCCCACCATGCAGCTACTCATTTCATAGCTCTATATTATAGTTGCTTCTCTTCTGGCCAACTGTATGGGGCTGACTCACTGACATTCCCTATTGACAGAGCAAGGCAAGGAGATCACTTCAGAGGGTTAGTCAGTGCTGCCTATGTCTACACTGCAGCTGGGAGCAAGCCTCCCAGCACAAGTCAAGAGACATATGCCAGCACACTAAAAAACAGTGCAGCTCCAGTGGAGAATCGGGCAAGCCACTTGAGCTCAGACCCAGGGGGTTGGGTGGTCTTACGTCAGAGCTGGAATGTCCACACTGCTAATTTTAGTGCGCTAACTTCAGTCCATCTACCCAGGCTGTGAGGATTGCTCTCAGCTGCAGTGTAGACGTACCCTGTATAGCCTGCTGGCCTTAGGAATACTGGAAATCACATTTTGGATTCCCAAGTTAGAGCTGAGAAGCTACATCTTAGTAAAAGGGATGGTGAGGTAGATTTACCCAAATTCCGAATTAAGAACTTTGGCTTCTCTGAAGCATGTTTCCAAAAAGAGGAGAAGCCCAGCTTCAAATGCTCATACTTGCCCCACTGGAGGATAGCAAGCGTTTGGGAGAAGCCATAATATTACTTTTTGCTGGATCTCTGTGGGGAGACTTGCAACTCTCTAGTAGCAATGTTCACCCCACAAGTGAGGCTAGTATGAAGACTTACCACGTTTCATCCCTTGCGGTTCCTAGTGGACTGTACCCAACAATGACAATGTCATGTTGTCTACAAAATTCTAAGAGCTTGGGCTGGGTGAAATATGGGTGGCATTCAACCTACATGAATGAAACAGAAGGAGCAATTAAATTAAATAGTGACAGATACTGAATAATGTCTTGACATCTCTTTCTGCATGTTTGACCAATTATAATCTCAGATGAATTAGAGATTGTAGGGGAAAATGTTTTAAGAAAATGGAACCTTTTACCCCCTAGATTAATCATTCAAATCCAGGCCATCCTGGTGGTGGCAGGCCATCCTGACCTTCCCAGGGGAAAGACTGTGACAGGAGCTGTGGAAATAATTGATTTTTCACTTTGCTGGCCATATCAAAAAGAGTGTGTTCCGGATCAACCCAAAAGAAACTTTGAAACTTTTGATTCACTGAGAAGTTGACCTGAAACAAAACACTTCATTTTTCTAAGCTTTTCGAGTTTTTAAAATGAAAAGTAGTTTTGATTTGGGGGAAAAAATGTTTAATTTCAAATGTGTCCAAATGAGAAGTTTAGAGTTTTAGAATTTTAGGTTTGATCTAAACAATTCTGCAAATTCAACATGAATTCTAATATTCTGGTTGACCCCAAATCTGCATTTTTCAGCTAAAGATGTATCAGCTGAAAAGCTTCACCCAGCTCCAATGATGACATACCTTGAGCCATGTCCAGGCAAGAGGGGGGGAAAAAAATCAAGATATACAGTAGTCTAAGAGGAATGTGGACCTCCTTTTTGGGAAACAATTCAGACCGTTTAACACCTTTGCAATTCATGATTGTAATTACATGGGGGGAAATTTGCCTTCTCCCCAGTGGATAGATGGCAAACAAGATATGGAAGAGATATTGGGAGCATGAGGGTAACTGTTGACCTGACTCACCAGCCTTTATGTTCTGCCCAACACTTATGTATAGCCATCTGAATAGAGATCTATGCCAGGAGGCAGGAGCATCTTGGCTACCTGATGATTGTATTTTTCTCTTCTCTTTGTAGCCAGAATGATGGCTGCTTCCATCTTAGTTTGCCTCCAGAAAGTTGGTGACAGCTTATGCCATCAGCAGAAAATTGAGGGAAATAAATAAATAAAACCCACATTTTTTTGTATGGACTGCTGCAAACCTCTGCCTTTCCAGGCTGCAGCTATTCTGTACTATCACCCACAGTGAGTTTTTCTGGCTATGTGTTCAAATTTCTTGGAGATCCATTCCTGAGGTATACAAGCAGCTTGCTCTTATAATAAGTTCCTGAAGTTGATACAAACCCCTAAGAATTGCTTTTTTTTTTTAAATCAGAACCTTCTTCCTTGCATCTTCATTAGGCCCAGACAGAGGGTAGTATTGATGTACTCTTGCGGGGGGGGGGGGGAATGGAGTCAGACAATCCAGCCAGAAGCAGTTATGGTGTTTAGTGCTTGTTTGATAACTTGATCTTTAATGCTGGTGGTGGGAAAAAGTATTAGAATGACAGCCACAGAGGCAAGGAAACTCCTGCGTAGCCAAAGAACAGGTACAAGGACAGTGGCAGACTTCCCCAATACTACCTTGTCAGTGTCCCTCCAAGGCCAACTTCAGAGGGTGAAAGGATAGTTTCCTCTTTTTCCCATACAATCTTTGGCCTCTCTTCTGATGCTGCTAACAAGGATATCTATTAGCACTAATCACGATATCAGTCACTGGACATCTCTAACACCATCTCTCCAACTCCAAATCAGAAGCCACCCTAACCACCACCAGATGCTAATGACTTGTATCCAGACCAGCTACTTAGAAATAAATGGTTGTGGACCCCGTTGTCATGGTTTTACTTAGACTTGACCATTGACTTCAGTGGCAAGTTTAGCTTAAGCTGATGGCATGACATGGTCTTATTGCTAAGTTAGTTCTTTGGTCTAGTACCTCCACAGAATTACCTGTGGAAAGGACATAGAAAAGAGTGCCTTAGAACTTCTTTGGCTTGTTGTAGTTTCTTAGAGATCATTCCTTATAGCAGACACATAAAGCACAATATCCCATATGCTATAGGGCTGGGCTCTAATTGTTTTAAATGAGGTAACTGATGGCTGGTTAGCCTGTTGGGAACTTTCTTGGATCACTTGAGTACATGGCTGAATCCTTTTGATCATGTCTGCAGTGACAAGGATTCATACAGCCCTTAAAACTCATACACCATGGGACAAACTCAGGTTTTCAAGCACTGGAGAGGGATCTGGAAGGAAATGGATGTTCCCAGCAAATTTGGATATTTATATTGAGTGTAGAGTGAAAAATCAGTCATGCTCACTCTTAAGGAGGAAAGTTTGGCTTTCAATGTTTGGCGGTATGGTGGATAGCTTACTACCTGCAGTAGGTCATCTGTGCAGAAGTATTTGTAGTCCCTCTGAGCACCGTACCACAGTGCCAGTTTCAGGTAGAGTTAGGGTTCTGCTTAGGATCATACCTGATTGCTGACAGGTTTGTGCTTGAGCCCTGGCTTATTCAGAATCATTTCCAGCTGCCTGCGGTTGAAGTTGGACACTCCAATAGATTTTGCCAAGCCGGCATCTTTACATGCTTCCAAAGCCTGCAAAGATAGCAACGGGGAGCATTAGAAAGAAAGCCTCAATAGAAACCTTCCAGCGAAGGAAAGTAAGCATTATTAGCTAGGTGAAATATACTTTACTCGGGACTCTGTCTAGAGAGTTAAGTGTGCATGCCTTACAGGAAAGGCCTTTACTTTGGAGGGACTAGCACTCCTGTTGATGCTTTGTTCCTATTCTAAACTCAATTCTCATGCAGCCATAGATTTTCAGAAGACCAAACCAAGGCACCTCAGATTTCAATGTTACTTCATACTAGGGTAGAATTTTCCCAGGAAGCAGAGCAAATCAGAAGAAACATTTGAGATACAGCACTTATACATTTCACATGTTCATTTCCAGAGTTTTATTTCAAATTTTAGAGGGACTGCCACACTGCTCCAGCTTTAGGGGTGGGGAAAGGGAGACAACATCTGAACAAGAGATAGCTTCCCTTCCCTGTCACTTTCTGAATTACCCCAGCTATTATTTCAGCTGTGCAAGTGTTAGTCCAGGCTCTCCTCCTGCCAGAGTCTACAGTTAAGTCATAATTTTATGCCAAAGTGTTGCCATGAAATTGTGCATCACAAAAATCAGCATTAAGACTTCATTGCAAAATGAAGCGGGAGGAGAAGATGGGGCTGAGAGGAATACAGGATTTGCATTTCAAACCAATATAGCTATGCAGTTAAGGAAGCTTATACAAACAAGGTAAACATACAATAATTCCTTCATTAAGCATCCTCTGATACTCTGCTTTTAGTTGATGCCATGCTTCATTAACAGGAGAAGAGTATCTTTACTTAGAGATACTCCTCTCTCCCAAAACCCCTCTGATGAATGCAGTGGCTATTCAGTGGTGCAATGAAGCAGAGTTACTGTAGACTCTACTCTTGTCTCCAACATCTGGGTACTGAATGTCCTGCTTGTCAGTTTTATTATCCTTTTCTTATTTAAATGAATAGGGGAATTAGGGAAGCAAAAGGCTCCATTTATTTTATGGCCTCTGGCTGGCCTCTTCTTGTCATATGATTTTCATCATTCAACAGTGAGGCAACAAGAATAGCCACAATCCTGGCTGCTGAAGCCACACTGAAACAATTAAATTACTCCAGGGAGGAGTTTAGCTGGCTGTATATAGACTGATCCTAATATTTACAGGCAGCGATGACCCCTTCTCAGCGGCAGCAGCTGGGTTTTTCCTGCCTATTGTTACTGAGGCTGTCATGTTACACTAGAGCCTTACAATAAGAAACAGATTGAGGGTAACAAGCTGCAGGGACTGAACAGAGAAAGTTTGACAGATGTTTTTCTTTCATGTTTAAGTGAATTTGACTTGTGAATCTGAGGAACTAACAGCACGGGCTCAGGCCAAGCATATCATGAGCAGCTATTCTGGAAGTTACCCACACAACTGTGTTCCATGGAAGCACCCCCTCTCTTATTCCAGCCCTGGGAGCCCACCTCAGAATTTTGCCATTGTGTCCAAATCTTGACCAACAGCAGCTCGTGCTAAGCCAGTGCAGGGCATCACTATGCAACTTTTGCCAGTGTAGATTCAATCTGGACATGTAGCACCCTGGGCTATTCCCGTCTCTTGAGGAGAGATGGCTGCTTGTGCTGAGTAAATTGTTAAAAGCCACATGGCTTATTCATAGATTCATAGATACTAAGGTCAGAAGGGACCATTATGATCATCTACTCTGACCTCCTGCACAACGCAGGTCACAGAATCTCACTCACCCACTCCTGCGAAAAACCTCTCATCTATGTCTGAGCTATTGATGTCCTCAAATCGTGGTTTAAAGACTTCAAGGAGCAGAGAATCCTCCAGCAAGTGACCCGTGCCCCATGCTACAGAGGAAGGTGAAAAACCTCCAGGGCCTCTTCCAATCTGCCCTGGAGGAAAATTCCTTCCCGACCCCAAATATGGCGATCAGCTAAACCCTGAGCATATGGGCAAGATTCACCAGCCAGATACCCAAGAAGAATTCTCTGTAGTAACTCAGATCCCACCCCATCTAACATCCCATCACAGGCCATTGGGCCTATTTACCATGAATATTTAAAGATCAATTAATTTCCAAAATCATGTTATAGGATGTGCAAAAGTGAGGACTAGACTGAGATCCAGACTCCCTTTTACCTGTGGTGTAAGAAAAAAAGTGTGGTGTCTAGATGTGACTAAGGATGGGTTGTATATTGCCCTGTCCCCTTTACTTGAACCAAAGTTTCTACTTCTAAGTAAGGGCAGGTTTGAGATATTTAAAAGGTGGGAACCTTGAAAGGCACAGCCCATTGACAATTCAGGATTCAGCACCTCTATGCAGTTCTACTACCCTCTAAAGCAGTGGTTCTCAACCAGGGGTATGCATACCCCGGAGGGTACGCAGAGGTCTTCCAGGGGGTACAGCAACTCATCTACATATTTGCCTAGTTTTACAGTGTAGTTACATAAAAAGCAGTAGCCAAGTCAGTACAAACTAAAATTTCATACATACAATGACTTAATACTGCTCTATATACTATACACTGAAATGTAAGTACAATATTTATATTCCAATTGATTTATTATATGGTAAAAATGAGAAAGTAAGCAATTTTTCCATAATAGTGTGCTGTGACAGTTCTGTACTTTTGTCTGATTTTGTAAGCAAGTAGTTTAAGTGAGGTGAAACTACTGAAAGGTGTACAGTAGTCTGGAAAGGTTGAGAGCCACTGTTCTAAAGTCCTCATAATTAAAAGAAATGTTGAATACCCTTATGGTAACTTATACCCTAGAACAGAGGGAGAGTTATTTTTTGTGAGGCAACATAATTTTCTATCCTACCTTGAAACTACATCTTCTGTTACCAAGAAGGAGCTAGTCATATGTTACCAAGGACCACTATCTCCTCCATCTCTTTGAAAGTAGTAAGACTTGAAAGGCTACAACTGCAATGAACGTGGTGGTCTCTGAGAGCCCACAACAAACTAGTCGAACAGTTCCAGAAGCCCCAGCTAATCCAAGACAAGTGCAATGTCTTGATCAGGGAGTGCGAAAAGGCATTTCTAAAAACATTTTTGGATACATCTACATGTAAATAAAGTCAGTTTCAGAGTAGCAGCCATGTTAGTCTGTATTTGCAAAAAGAAAAAGAGTACGTGGCACTTTAGCGACTAACCAGTTTATTTGAGCAAAGCTTTCGTGGGCTACAGCTCACTTCATTGGATGCAAAGTGTGATTTTAGCACGTGTTGGCATATGTGCTAGCTTTCTTTTTGCTGGTAGTAAAGACATGTTGGCATTGGCTAGCAGCCCAAGACAGCCACCCATAGTCCTCAGCAGGCTCATACTGGGCTGCTAGCCCAAGCTGACATCTTCACTTTTGTTATCTGCATGAGCTAGATTAAAGCTATCACAGGCGCGCCTGTCTGTGCTAGTCACACCTTCATTTGCTGCATAGCTGTACCCTCAGAGTCTGCTTAATGCTGGTGGAATGAGACACCCCTGCACACAGAAGTCCCTTTATCCAGGGAGTCAGTAGCACGGTCAGTGGAAATGCAAGTTTACCTACATTGCCTTGTCAAGGTTCCTCAGCCATAGTGCAGAGGAGCCACTTTCCCAGATGTGATGGCGTTTAAATGCATAGGAATGTTACAACTGCGTACCTCCCAAGTAGCACATAAGTTTGTCTCATGGTAGATATATTTTCCATTTTCATCTCTCGGGTAGATTGCATCTCCAGGCTGAAAGAACAAAGTCATAGTTTTCAGCTTCCACTACTCAGAACGGAGGTTTTACACATACTCTCTACATTTATCAGTGGACAAAAATCCAGAGGCTTTCTAAACACACCAAGTTCAAAAGGTTATTCATATTGCGCTTGCCACATCCTCCCTTCATCTACCAGCACTTTAATGCTATAATCATTAAGTGCACTTCCTGAAATATTCCCCTCATATGGCTATGCACTAAAAAGTTCCATTTGAGTTGTGCCATGATCCTGGAGGTTGCAAGAGGGGATGGCTTTCCAGAGTCTAATCGCCTATTTCCCAGATATTCCATTGTGGCAGCCAAACATTTCCACATGGCTAGACTATTGCAAAAGCCCAATTCCCCTCCAATGCTGCTTGCTTGTGCTATTTACCATTCAGGGACACTGAAGAGCAATGCAAGTTAAACATCTGATATTGCAAGACAATCTTGCAGGACCAACTCCCAGTGATGCTAATGAGAGTTGTGTGCATTGGACACCTGGCAGGATGTGCCAAGAATCTTTCAGGATCATGCCCCAAGTTCTCCTATCTCCCTTGATACCCCAGAGAGCACTTTAAGGATGCTTGCAAGCATCCGTAGGCCTGGTACATAAGTGCACCACTTTCTCTCATTTGCTGATCAATTTGTTGCTACTACAGGCAGTATATTTTAAAATGTCAATCATTCATCGGATATTAGTTTCACTTTGTTTCCTTAAATGCCTTTTGTGGTGTCTGGTAGCTGATCTGACTTCAGACAGCCATAGTTCAAAAAGTGCGGGGTGACGTGTCGACAGGCTAATTCCTCAGGAATACGCAGCTGTGACTAATGTGCTCAGTGACTGGCGCCACCACATTCAACACATGCAACTGCAAGACATTTTAGGGTGAAAATGAACCTTAGTACAACAAAACATCCTCACATTTCAGAGATTGGAGCATGAAGTGGAGTTAAGTGTAGGTTTTTTTGCCTCAAAAATGAGAGCATTCCTTAAAGCAAGACCCAAGAGACAGGCCTATTACTATTATTAATTCTTACTATGTCTTATTAGAAGAACCTTGCACTGTCAGGAAAAAGTAAGATGGCATTTAGGTCTTTTCCATCTTAAATTGGGTGAGAGCGAGAGAAGAGTAGAGAGGGGTTTGGAGTTCTTTATGAACATGGGATCCTAGCCAAAACTTTTCAGGATTCTGCAACATCCTACTCCAAAATTTGGCGTCTTCTATAGGGATCATTACAAAGGTAAGGGTTGTTGCAAAGCAGGTGTGGACTTCCAGCCAACTCAGAGTTTATGGGTTGGATCTGGATCCAGGAGTTTGGTTTTAGGGCCATCTCTCATTAGATAGAAAGGGAATGTTTAACTTGGGATCACCTCCAAATTCCTTTGCTCCTAGTATTAATATTCTAGACAGCAAAGAAAAAGAAAGGCTCAAAGAAACAGCAAGATCCAGAGTGCCCTCCTGTGCATTTCCACAAGGTTTATAACATCCTTTATAACAACATCTACATGGAGCTGCTGTAGGAAGTTAAGATGCCAGTGTCTGAAAAACCCATAGTAGGCAGATGGTACTCCTCTCTACATTCCCTTGATCATTGATGCAAATAGGACCATCTCACAGCTACCTGCATTCCAGAGAAAGCATCTAGATGAAAGATCTGGCTGAATATGAACCAGACAAGATGGAGGCAATGCTGATGGGAAGAGGCAGACAGTTTGGAAAATGAAGCAATTGTGGTTACTAGACCTTCAGAGACTTCTTCCCATGAGTACAAGAAATGCTTTTTTCCACCTACAATTTGTCCATCTTAAATAGACCCGCCCACTCATTTCCAGAAGAAATAAGGTCTCGAGATCTCACTGCCTTCAGAGCTAAGGGTCAAACCCACTTTAACTTGGCAATAAAAAACAAAGGTAGAGAGAAATGGCTATTTAACAACTCCTAGCCACTACTGCATCTGGGGAAGAAGGCAGGAAGTTAATCAAAATCAGCCAATGTACCTATCTATTTTCTCTTGGGATGCATTCAGATATAATGGTGATGGGAGACACTAGAAGGATCCACATATCAAGCCTTTCTGAATATATTCAGAACTCTTCCAGAGTGAATTTTTTGTTTTACTCTCAGAACAAAGTCCTCCCAAAGAGCTATATGAAAAAAGTTTGCATCAGTAAAATCAGTAAAGAGATGAGTTTACAATTTTACAAGAGGCATGTTTGTGGATTTTGCCTCAAGCATCAATATTTTCACATATTCATGAAAGGCTCATTTTGCAGGTAAGATTTTTTGGCTGCAAGAAAGGAAGTCTCCTTCAACTAGCAAGCCTCTGTCTGGGGCAAAATATGAGTTTTTTGTAATGTGATGCCACTTTCTGTGGCAAATGTGTGCTGGCACAACTGTTACTATACAAAATACACAAATCTGTGTGCCAATTGATAGAGTACTATTAACACACAAATTTAAACTTAAATTTGAAGATGCTTTAGGGAGATTAAACAGCACCTAGCCCAACAATAGCTGTTGCAGATGGGGAGAGCTGGAAAGCTGTCCCAACAAATCCTGCCTTGTGTGTAGTTTTTGCAGAAACAACTGTTCCAGTTCCAAGAGATGCTTCCCAGATTTTGGTCCAGACATTGCTCCATACTTCACTGCATATTGTATTAGAAAGAAAGGGATTTTTCCCCTCCCCAAAGGGACGCATGAGTGGAGCTTCAGGACTGCAACTGAGAGCATCTTGGTGCAGGATTTAGGGAATCAGAAGTAGATTTATTAAAAGGCAGCTGTCAATATCTTTATTTTGTGGGACACTGACCTTCACCATATGGGAGAATGAACTATGGGAGGAAAGCAACAGGAGTAAAAGGAAACCGGAAATTCCAGATGGTGGGAACTATTTTCTAAAGTGCACCTAAAAGGGTTCCATACTAGAGCTTGCTTTACATAATCCTTAACATCTGAGGCCAATTACTCTTGTGTAAGGAACAGGATGCCACTTCTATAGGAGCGAAGGGAATGTAGGGCCTCTGAGTGAGTTCCATGTGTTGGTTTCTGATCTCTAGAGGTACTGGCATTTGAATGCACCAGTCACAGGAAGGCATGAGCTTTGAGAGTTGTCAGGAAACAAAAGACTCAGGTAGATTCCTTTCTTGGTGGAAGCAGTATTGTCCACTCAGAGCATTTACAAGTGATCCAGCCTCCCCATCCCCCCTCAAATTATGAATGCCTTAGTTCTGTTTGGGTTTTTTATATTTGCCTTCCGGTTTAAGCCTCTGAGGAGCACTTGCATTGTGTTTTCAACTTTCTCTCTGAAACCATGAGGGCTAGTGATCTCCTTTTATAATCCTCCCAGCCCCTGAGATTGTTTAAGAGCTGGGGCTTCAAGAAAAAAGCACCAAATCTCATGAGAGTGGTCATAAAATTGCAAGAGTTGGCAACACTGCAAGAAATTATACCAGTTCCCCAAACACCAGTGATCCCCAGAATGAGGGAACAAGAAGTCATGATTGTTTACATTTCTGTCTCAGAGAACCCAAGTTTAGATGCTAGGTCTGTCCTCCTAAAGCTGTCTGTCTAGCTGACTGCCACAAACAAGCAGATATGCAAGATTTTGTGAAAATGGTTTGCACAATACCTTTAAATACTATGGAGACTCTCCAGTGGTTGGAACAAAGCTGGGAGTCAGAACGGTTTTATTCCCTAATTTTACCACTAATTCAGTGTTGCCTTGTAAGTCACTTAACTCCTGTTAATCTTCCCATCTGGCCATAAATGAATTTAGATTGGAAATTAAAAAGGTTTCCAACCATCAGAGGAGTTTGATTCTAGAACAACCTTCCAACAGGGGACAAGAAACTTAAGTGGTTTTAAGATGGAACTTACAAAAGGGGTTAAACAATGTGGTTGCCTTTAATAGCAGGGAATTGGACTCTATGACCCAGCCCATGCTCTATCTGGAAAATGGGGATAGTGCACTAGGCTCATAGATGGCTTCATAGGCTATTACAGACTTCTATATCCTACTCCTGAGGGAATTCTGTCCCCTGCAGATTTCTTTGCTTCCCCGCAGAAAAATGACTTCCTGATGGGGAAGCAAAGGGAAACCACTAGAATGGTCATGTGACTCTCCCCAGCAGTATGTTTCGGGTGCCCAGGGCAGCCGGCAAAGACGTAAATCACTGTGGGGCAGAAGGCAGGACTGGGGAAGACCAGGCTGGTGGCTCCTAGTCTGCACTGGGCTCAGGTGGTAGTCTAGGCATGGCTGGGCTGGACTGGGCTGGGCTGGAGAAGACAGGACTTCCTCTTCCCCTGCACAGCATCTAGGGCCGGGTCAGACCCACCCCTAGATTTGTCCCCCAGCTACAGGAAGCTCTGCAAACTTTCCCCCTTACTGCACCCATTGCTCCTCAGCTGCGGGGGGAGAGATCCCTGTAAAGGGAGCTGCTCCCCCATCTGCCCAACCCCCATGCATCCAGACCCCTCATACCCAGACCCTCACCCCACCCCACCCCGCACTCAGAACCCCACTGATGAGCCCCATTCCCCCTGCACTTGGACAACCCCGAGCTACCCGCATCTGGATACCCACCCCACCAAGCCCCAGCCAGTTGCACCTGGATCCCCACCCCACTGAGTCCCACTCCTCCAGCATCTGGACCCCCAACTGAGCCCTATCCCCCCTCACACCCAGACACCCATCCCCCCAGCTAAGGCCCAACCACCTTCACCTGGACCCTCTGCAGAGTTCCATTACCATTGCACCCAAAAAACCCCAACAAACCCCTGTGAATCCAGATCCCTTCTGCACCCAGATCCCCGACTGAGTCACTCACACCCAGATTGCCCCACACAGAACTCTCTCAACCCGCACCTGCATCCCTCCACACTAAGTCCCTCCACACTTTGTTCCTGCCTTGCTGAGCCTGCCTGCCCATACCTGGTGCACCTGGCATGGAGGGGCAGGGCCTGGGGTGTTTCTGGGGCAGGCGCGGTCCTTGCACTGTGTCAGGGTTGGGTGCAGCCTCATCACTGAGTCCGTGTCCTGGGGAGGGGGGGGCGGGAGAGGGGGAGAAGAGCTGCACAGTGATTTCCCACCTCTGTGCAGCCAGTGATCTGGACTCCCCAATGCCATGCTGGAGCCTCCACATTTATTTGACAAATAAAATTTCCAGAATTTTGCAGAAATTTAAAATATGATGCACAGAATTTTAATTTTTTTGGCATAGAATTTGTAATTTTTTGGTGCAGAGTGCCCTCAGGAGTAATATCCCCCCTCTGACCCCAGCTAAAGGAGCTCTCCTAGCACCAGTGCTGAAGGCCCATTTTATTCCACTTTACAATTTATGCTCTCTCTATTTGGCCTGGATACTCCATTTAACAAAGTTGATGTTATTGTGCTTTGTCTTCTTCAATGAAGAGCAATATGCACATGCAAAGAATGTCAAGCATTACATTGCCACCAAAGAACCACTTTTTTAAACAAAGAGTGGTCTGTAAGTTTGAAGAATTACTTGAGTCAGAGGACTTGGTTCACACAGGCAGATATTGTGATAAGCATTAGGGCTACTTTTCTTTTTACCTTGAATGCCATTGGCAGCTCAATAATATAAAGATCAACATAATCCAACCGCAGAATCTTGAGTGTCTTCTCCAAAGTTGGACGCACCAGCTCCGGTGGGTGACAAGTATTCCATAACTAGGGGAGGGGAACAAAAAACATAAAACACTCTTGGTTCTAGTGAGACAAATAGAAATTCAGTTACTTGATTTCCCTACCTTTCTCCCCTTTAGATAGTACTACAGACTACATCGGGTTAGCACAGGATGTAAGTCAGTGCATTATTGGATTACTTATGTACACAAAAGGAGAAGCTCCGTTTTCCCCCCTAGGATGGATCAGCATAGAGAACTGACCAGAACCTTTACCCATAACTTAAACCTGTCCTGACCTAGATTTTAAACACAGCCACATACTTAAATGTAGACAACAACTTTCTATTTCCTGAATTTAGCTGGATGTTGGCAAGGGTCCTGTGATTGGAAAGGATTAGCTAAACGGGAAGGGAAGGTTTCAGAGAGGTGTCTCATGGTTAGGATAGTTCAAATACTTATCTAAGCCACAACTAGATTCTGAACCTTCTGAAGTTTGCTTATTCCCACTGGAGGGCTCCCCCTTCCCTCTCTAGCAAGAGGATCTACAAACAAACAAACAAATTTTTTTTGAGCTGTGCACTTGTATTCATGCTCTGAAGTCTGCACATGGACAAAATTGCAGAGATTTGTGGCTTCAAGTAGAGGTCACTGAGTATCTGTTCAGGGTTGAGCAAGTGACTTTGGAAACAAAAATGAACTCCCCAAATTTATCAAGTTTGGTTTATACTAGGGCTGTTGATTAATTGCAGTTATCTCATGTGATTAACTCAAAAAAATGAATCATGATTTAAAAAAATTAATTGTGATTAATCACAGTTTTAATCTCACGTTAAACAATAGAATACCAATTGAAATTTATTAAATATTTTGGATGTTTTTCTACATTTTCATATATATTGTATTCTGTGTTGTAATTGAAATCAAAGTGTATATTATTATTACAAATATTTGCACTGCAAAAATGATAAACAAAATATTTTTCAGTTCACCTCATACAAGTACTGTAGTGCAATCTCTTTGTTGTGAAAGTGCAACTTACAAAGGTAGATTTTTTTATAGCTGCACTCAAAAACAAAATGTAAAACTTCAGAGCTTACAAGTCCACTCAGTCCTACTTCTTGTTCAGACAATCGCTAAGACAAAAAAGTGTGTTTACATTTACAGGAGATAATGCTGCCCTCATCTTATTTACAATGTCACCAGAAAGTGAGAACAGATGTTCACATGACACTTTTGTAGCTGGCATTGCAAGGTATTTACATGCCAGATGTGCTAAACATTGATATTCCCCTTCATGCGTCAGCCACCATTCAGAGGACATGCTTCCATGCTGATGACGCTCGTTAAAAGAATAATGCGTTAATTAAATTTGTGACTGAACTTCTTGGGGGAAGAATTGTATGTCTCCTCTTCTGTTTTACCCGCATTCTGCCATATATTTGATATTATAGCAGTCTCGGATGATAACCCAGCACATGTTCATTTTAAGAACACTTTCACAGCAGATTTGACAAAACGCAAAGAAGGTTCTAATGTGAGATTTCTAAAGATAGCTACAGCACTCGACCCAAAGTTTACGAATCTGAAGTGCCTTCCAAAATCTGAGTGGGATGAGGAGTGGAGCATGCTTTCAGAAGTCTTAGAAGAGCAACATTCCGAAGTGGAAACTACAGAACCCGAACCACCAAAAAAGAAAATCAACCTTCTGCTGGTGGCATCTGACTCAGATGATGAAAATGAACATGCGTCGGTCTGCACTGCTTTGGATTGTTATCGAGCAGAACCCACCATCAGCATGGATGCATGTACCCTGGAATGGTGGTTGAAGCATGAAGGGACATATGAATCTTTACCGCATCTGGCATGTAAATATCTTGCGATGCCAGCTACAACAGTGCCATGCGAATGCCTGTTCTCACTTTCAGGTGACATTGTAAACAAGAAGCACAGCATTGACTCCTGCAAATGTAAACAAACTTGTTTGAGCAATTGGCTGAACAAAAATAGACTGAGTGGACTTGCAGGCTCTAAAATTTTACATTGTTCAAAAATAAAACAGGTTTTTTTTGTACGTAATTCTACATTTGTAAGTTCAACTTTCATTACAAAGATTGCACTACAGTACTTGTATTAGGTGAATTGAAAAATACTATTTCTTTATATTTATTTTTGATTACAAGTAAAAAAACAAAAAGTGAGCACTGTACACTTTGTATTCTGTGTTGTAATTGAAATCAATATATTTGAAAATGTAGAAAACATCCAAAAAATTTAAATAAATGGTATTCTGTTATTGTTTAATAGTGCGATTAATCATGCAATTAATTTTTTAATTGCTTGACAGCCCTAGTATATACTGATTTTTCTTAAGTTTTCCAATTTCTGTGGTCAGTTTTGTCATGTTGAGGCTATGTCATGTGATCAAATGATATTATGAAGAAAGGACTAGGTAGGTTTGAGCGGAATCTTTGGTTTTCTGATGTGGCCAGAGCCACTGAGTCTCTGCATGATCTAGGGAAGTTTTTGTTTAAGGTCAGAACCTCACTGAAAGATAAATGCTGCATTGATGCTCCATAGGCATGAAGCAGATGTGGTTAGAGTGAAAACTGAACTTGTGTAAATAACAATTTCATAGGGGGCACAGAAGTCATGAAAATGCCCCCATACTAGGATCTTTTAAATATTACCTTAGCTTACTGTGCAGTGCACATGCAGAGGAATTGAGTGCTGTGCACGCGTGTATGAAAAAGACCTAGCAGGGAAACAGAATGGATGGGTCTTTTTTCTTTTCTTTTTAAGTCACAGGCACAAGTGAAATTGACTAAAGTTTGCTGGTTAAGTTCATTCTGTGCAAATTGTGAAATTCAATACTTTGTCATTTACATGGTCATGAATTTTCTAAAACCACCCACATGATTTATATAGTCCCTAATTATGCTTGCTTCCTCCATTGAGGGATTATTCCCAGATGTCAATGATTTTAAAACCATCACTGTTCTTGGATTCCCATGTGTCAGTGGTGACCCAAGATACCCATCATCTGGTTAGCCTGAAGGCAGACCTTGCTGAAGCAGTGTTCCAGGTCTGTCTTCTCCCATCTGGGTTAACTGAAATTTGCTCTATTTAGGGCTATTCATGAAGACCACACCAAAATTTAACTACCACCTGCCAGTGTAACCACCTGTGTTAACAGGGGCAGCTTGAGTTTAGCAGAGTATCTAGGCTTTGTACAGCACAAAGCCTTAAATCTGCTTTTGGAGGAAATTCAAGGTGTTTCTCAATCCTAAACGAGATGGGGAATTTTTGAATATAGGCAGCAGGGCATTTTTTTGGTAGAGAGCCTCGATTTTGGAACTTTCTTTTTAATATGCAGCTGGCCATTTTTAGGTTGCAGGATGTTTAATGGAAAACCTGCAGTTGCTATGGGGGTGAGCTCGGGACAAAGTCATTTTCAGCAGACACACAGTTACCCATGGGGTAATGGTGATGTGTTTTATCTTGCAACAGACCCAAATGCCTTAGAGAGCCCTGAATAAAGACCTATCAGTGAGTAAGTGCCATGAATACAGCAGTTTTAAAAAGCTGCAGAGGCTTCAAAGAAAGGTGCTGTAGCAATGGTTGTGAACCCTGTTACCTTAGCTTCACTGGTGCCAAAAAATATTAGGTGAGTTTCCTAACTGGTTTTCACAATTTGTAAAAGTGATTATCTACATCTGTGGATCAACGATCAGAAATCTGCAAAGCAGCTGTGGCATTCTAGAACACCACATTCCCTGGAAATGTTACTTTTAGGCTTAATAAAAGAAAAATATCTGGGGTGAAAGACAACCATGAAAGCCTTAGTACATAAGCCAAAGACTGTTGGCAATTGATGGAAAGCCTCTGAAATCTTTGGATGCTTTGTCTGTGATCAACATGTTAACAGCAGGAGCCAAGCACAAATGTGGATTTCAGCTGGCAGATAGCGTATGACTTTGTAAAGTCATTATTCCAGAACAACTGAGCCTAGTCTTGTTAACCACTGCTGATGGGCTGGTGTGAGATTAGTATCATCAGAACATTTAAAGACTTACCTGAACTCGTGCAGTTGAGAAAATGCACAATAAAGCCAGGTTCTCCTGTGAAATTTCTAGTACTTGCTGGTTTGGGTCAAGTAAGAAACAAGCATAGCTCTTTCTCATGTGGTAGTAATAAGTGGCCTAGTGAACTTAACCACTGCATCTCTAATAATGCAAAGAATTAGGGTTGGTCAGCCATTATAGGCTACAAATTTGCCGTTAGCTCAGTTTGTGCTTTAGGAAAAAAGAGGATCTGAGTTTGGGGGCGATGGCGGGGGGAGGGGAAATCACAGATGAAATAAAGATTTAATCTGAACCTTTGGGGTTAAATGTATATTTTGTTAAGTAGTGACCAGAGAACAGAACAGAAAGATAGCTGCAGTTGAGGAATTCCCACATATTGCATGTTATTGCAGCCAAGGTTGGAACCAGAATGCCTCTCTCTCTCTCTCAACAAAAGCTACAGTCTAAATAGGATCAGGATCACAACCTCATTTCTGGGAACCACATGTTCCACTCTCCCTAAAGAGAAACTCTGTCCAACTGAACTTTGACTCAAGGACAAATACAAGACGTTTTGCCAATGGTTTGACAAAGTGCGTTTAATAGGCTGTCTAGGGGTTAGATCAGGTGATGGTGTTAGAACACTTTGAAAATTTCCTACCCAAATCTAGAAGCAAAGTGTTTTTCCAGCAAGAAATGCCAATTTGTTGAAACCAAAAACTTCCTGCAAGAAAGGGTCAGTTTTGCTGAATTCCCATTTTAAAAAATTGAGTCATTTCAAAATTGTCAGGTCCTGTTCTGACATTTTTGAAACGAGAAGTTTGAAATCACTTGAAAAATTTTGAGTGTGCTCAATACAAACTGCTTTGACCAACCTGATCCAGAGTTTAGATTTTTGATTAGTGAAAAACTTGTGACTGACTTTGCCCCAGTTTGGGGAAGAACTTGAAATCTTATTCCCCCCCTTGTAACAGAAAAACAGTTTCCCACCCAGCTGTATCTGTGACAGAAAGCAGTTAGCATAGACTAGCTGAAGCACAGGACTGGAAGTCTGTTCACAGCTTTGCCACCGACTTGCTCTCTAACCTCTGAGAACTCACTTAAGCCCTAAAACCATCTGAAGCTATGGCTCAGAATCCTAGTTTGCGGAATACTTAGCTCCTAGAATGGAAGGTGTTATGAAAGTAAACAGCTACAATTGTTCAGTACAAAACACTGAATGCATACTCTTTATGTATCTGAAATATTTATTTAACCAGTGTTTTGTGGTGCACATTTAATATTCACTGTACAGAGAAAGAAAAATGTGGGGAGCACTGTGTTAAGTGTGGTGGAGGATTTTATAACATGAAGCATCTGCCTGTAAAAAACTGACCCGAGCCTGCTAGCTTATTACACGCATAACTGAACTGGTACCACTTTTGTACCAATGACCTAAAGTTAAAGTTGAATCCCTTTACCAATACTTTGAAGTAAAGTTCTCCATTTTACTTCTTTGGAAGATCTTTAAAAAGTGTCAGATTTAAGATTTTAAACTTTGACTAGCTCATGACTCATTCTCAGGAGCCTTTCCCCGCTTGAAATCAAGCGCAAGACTACATCACCACAAGACAGTTTTCTGCATTGATCACTGAATTTCAGATATAAATCCCACAACAAAAGCTGGCTTTTATATGAAGGGTTTCTTGGAAATCCAGCTGTATGAGATGACTGTCAAAGTTTAACCTAAAATTATAGGGAGCGTTTTTCTTTTTGGAAGCCCCCCATGTAGTTGCCAGATTTTCCTCTCATGTCCTTTCCCACTCCCTCCCTTCCCTGTAAATTCATTAAGTCTCTTTAAAACAATTCATTCAAGCAGTGGTGTTTGAAAAGGCCTGCAGTGGAAAATGTGCATGTACAATGCAAAGAAAGAGTCACGGTATAAGTTCCAAGAGGCTAACGATGGGCAAAACCTCAGGAGGTTGGGTTTGAAAAAGTACTGAAAAGTTTGGATGATTTAACTTGAAATTAAGGAAATGTACTACACGTCCAGCCCACCCGAACACCCACAAACATAAATCACAGGACTAAGAGTAAGTAGCCTGATGTAACTTCTCACTTTGCCACAATAGAAGATTTCTTCTCGTTTTACTTTTCCTTCTGCAATCTTCTCCCAGATGGCCTGTCCCACTTCATGCTCGTTGTAGTACACAAAGGCCCCATCAATATGGCGGTAACCAGCATCAATGGCAATCTTCACTGATTCTTCACAGGTACCTTTGGGAGTCTAATGGAGACAAGAGAAAGGGCGACATGGTTACAACTTTGTTCGTGCCCATCTGAGCAGCAATGGGACGGTGCTAATTCTGAATGAGTGGGAAGCACAAGTCAACATTTCACCTCCTAGTCTACAACGCACACAACTCTGTTCACATACTAGGCTCCTGGGAAAGAGCGAGGACTGAACTGCTGTGCTGTCCTAATAGAAATTAATTTAGATTTATGGAGACTTTAAGTCCCCCTTTTCCCTTTCTACCACTGAACGTAATAGAATTATGCTAAAAAGTTCTCCATGTGCACCCCTCTCCCACCCTAACTTTTCAAGGGTTGAAAAGCGACAGACAGAATTTAGTTTTTCCTTTCGCTACTACTTTTCCAAATTTGGACACGTTTTGAAGAGTTAGAGCAGAAAATGGAAGAGGAGTAAAAAGTGGAAAAGCCTTGGGACATGGTTTATTTTCATGCACTCCATGGCAAAAAAGGAGAAAAAGAAAGTGAGTATTTTCAAAAAGCAAAACTAAAACATTTTAGATCAAGATGACCTCATTGTGAAGTTTTCTGTCAAATCAACACTTTCCCATAAGAAGTCATTTGACAAGACCTCATGGGAAAGTTTTTGGTTGAAGCACAGCTCTGTTGAAACAGATCAGAAATTGCCTGTGCGGCTAATAACCTTATTAGCAATTTATTGAGGCATGGGGAAGAGGAATTCGGACACTGCCTTGACCCTCCTCACTTTCACCAGCTCAGCACCATTGGAGTTGCTACATTTTACATGGGGATGAGAGTAGGATTGGGCCCTGTTGGATTAGCATATTGCAGGTTGGCAGTGGCTTCGTAGTCTGCCTAAGAACATTTGATTTTTTTTTAATTTTTTTTTAATAAGAAGGTCCTGACTGCTGCAGTCTAGAAATTAAAACTGAGGGAGAGACTGTATGGGATTGATATCTCCAAATGAAGAACGTGCTAAGCCTTTGCTGTACTTTGGGTCTCATGTTGCCTTTCAGCAGCCATGCTGACTCACCCTAAAAAAAACAATAAATTTGGGTTTGTTTCAGAGCAGCTTAGCTCTTTGCCATATACCAGCTTCGAGTTCAAGATGCACATCAGCCAAACCAAACAAGAAGTTCACTTCGTGGGAGAGTACAGTGTGGAAAGCAGAAGTAGAACCACAATCACCACATCTAAGATTATTACCAGCAGGAGAGTGAGTTTGTGGGGGGGGGGGGGGGGCGGAGGGTGAGAAAACCTGGATTTGTGCTGGAAATGGCCCAACTTGATGATCACTTTAGAAAAGCTATTACCAGCAGGACAGTGGGGTGGGAGGAGGTATTGTTTCATGGTCTCTGTGTGTATATAATGTCTTCTGCAGTTTCCTCGGTATGCATTCGATGAAGTGAGCTGTAGCTCACGAAAGCTCATGCTCAAATAAATTGGTTAGTCTCTAAGGTGCCACAAGTACTCCTTTTCTTTTCACATCTAAGATGGTCACTGCAAGTAGCTTGATGCTATGGCTCGCTCTTGCCAGTGTCTTTGCTTATTGGAGGACTCACAGCAGGTATAGATACCATATTTCAAGTTCCCAAATAGAGGACACTGCTGGGGAACCCTACTCACAGGTCCTTGTAGTGACATAGTTTAACTTCACCTTTTGGAAGGTACTGATGCTATGTCTGTACAATGTAATATTTATATCCTTATCCAGAGCTCTCAACATGCCAGGGCTCACATGTATATCTAGGAAGGTACAAGAAAAAGGTAACTTTGTGATTCAGAAGGTGTATTAAAACTATAAGCTTTTTTAAAATGCGGACTCAAATTTTAAAAAAAAGTCTGAGGGAAACTTAAGAGGCCAAAGTTGTGTGTTTGGCCAGCTACCATCCCATGTTGGGGAAAACGGAGTGCTATTTCATTCATATAATAGGTACACCGAGGAGACAAACACTTGTTCAAATGCTTTCCTTCTTTCAGCAAGTGACCTTTCTGAAGGGACTTTCAGGCCCTGCCAAGGCCCTTTCCAAGTTGGCAGCATAGACCATGCCAGAGTAACAAAGATCCTATCAGCTAAGACACCAAAGCTGAAGAGACCGAGTCACTGTCCTGCCACATTTTTAATCTGTTCATGATAGCTGAAAAGTTTTGGGTGCATCAAACATGGAGCAATGACAAACTCAAACACATACTGTATTTTGTGTGGTACCTAAACCTGCAGGGACAGGATTTAAGGAAACCATAAGGTGAAGGCCACATACCTGTAATTCTCATCCTTTGAAGGCATCTTATCTATTTAAGAGTTAGTTTCCATTTGTAGCTCAAGCCTCTCAGTCCTATCATCTTGGTATGTTTTCCGGGGAAGTGTTTTTTAACTTTCCATGTCTCTTTTAGAGTTTGTTTTATCATGCTCCCCATCACTGTTAGACAAATATTGCTAAAATAACAGGCATCTTTGCACTGTTTGGCCTGATAGAGGTGAAGGCCACCATCAAGTACACACCAGGTTGGCGCCAGTGCCTGGGGCAAGTTTCAGCACTTTGATGCATTCAGGGGCCAACTTCAGTATGCCACTCCTGGTGCGCTAGTGAATTGGAGCGATGATTAAGTTTCAGGAAATTCAGTGTACTCCTATGTGAAAGCATTAGTACTACTTCAGATTGAATCCATCCTGGCACTGTAGGTTTCAGGAAGCACTGGGAACAGCTATGGAATTTTTGGATGGAGTCAGTGATGCATCTTTGCTTGGGTGACCATCTCCATTTTGATCAGCAGGCCTGGAGACCCAGTATCCAGGGGACAGGTGAGGCCAGGAAACAGTGTCAATCACTGTGGAATTAGAGGCTAAAAAAGGGAGAAGGGATGTGAGGAAGTTTCCCGAAATCACAGCAAAGAGCAGTCTGCTTTGGTAAGTTCGCAGCCTTAGCCATGGTCTACACTAGGAGTTGAGGTCGAATTTAGCAGCGTTAAATCGATTTAACCCTGCACCCGTCCACACGATGAAGCCCTTTTTTTTGACTTAAAGGGCTCTTAAAATCGATTTCCTTACTCCACCCCCGACAAGGGGATTAGCGCTTAAATCGGCCTTGCTGGGTCGAATTTGGGGTACTGTGGACGCAATTAGACGGTATTGGCCTCTGGGAGCTATCCCAAGTGCTCTATTGTGACCGCTCTGGACAGCACTCTCAACTCAGATGCACTGGCCAGGTAGACAGGAAAAGGCCTGCAAACTTTTGAATTTCAATTTCCTGTTTGCATGGTCACCTGCAGCTTGCCACGCTGGCCAGAGCTCATCAGCAGAGGTGACCATGCAGAGCTCATCAGCAGAGGTGACCATGATGGAGTCCCAGAATCGCAAAAGAGCTCCAGCATGGACCGAACAGGAGGTACGGGATCTGATCGCTGTATGGGGAGAGGAATCCGTGCTATCAGAACTTCGTTCCAGTTTTCGAAATGCCAAAACATTTGTCAAAATCTCCCAGGGCATGAAGGACAGAGGTCATAACAGGGACCCGAAGCAGTGCCGCGTGAAACTTAAGGAGCTGAGGCAAGCCTACCAGAAAACCAGAGAGGCAAACGGCTGCTCCGGGTCAGAGCCCCAAACATGCTGCTTCTATGATGAGCTGCATGCCATTTTAGGGGGTGCAGCCACCACTACCCCAGCCGCGTTGTTTGACTCCTTCAATGGAGATGGAGGCAACACAGAAGCAGGTTTTGGGGATGAGGAAGATGATGATGAAGTTGTAAATAGCTCACAGCAAGCAAGCAGAGAAACCGGTTTTCCCGATAGCCAGGAACTGTTTCTCACCCTGGACCTGGAGCCAGTACCCCCTGAACCCACCCAAGGCTGCCTCCCGGACCCGCCAGGCGGAGAAGGGACCTCTGGTGAGTGTACCTTTTAAAATACTATACATGGTTTAAAAGCAAGCATGTTTAATGATTAATTTGCCCTGGCATTTGTGGCTCTCCTGGATGTACTCCCAAAGCCTTTGCAAAAGATTTCTGGGGAGGGTAGCCTTATTCCGTCCAACATGGTAGGACACTTTACCACAGTGCCAGTAGCACGTACTCGGGAATCATTGTAGAACAAAGCATTGCAGTGTATGTTCGCTGGCATTCAAAAAACATCCATTCTTTATCTCTCTGTGTTATCCTCAGGAGAGTGATATCATTCATCGTCACCTGGTTGAAATAGGGTGCTTTTCTTAAGGGGACATTCAGAGGTGTCCGTTCCTGCTGGGCTGTTTGCCTGTGGCTGAACAGAAATGTTCCCTGCTGTTAGCCACGGGGAGGGGTGAGGGGCTATCCACGTGATGGGGGGAGGCAAAATGCAACCTTGGAACGAAAGCACATGTGCTGTGTATGTAATGTTAACAGCAAGGTTTACCGTGAAAGAGTGTACCCATTGTTCTATAAAATATATCTTTTTATATACCACTGTCCTTTTTTTTTTTTCTCCACCAGCTGCATGTGTTTCAAGGATCACAGGATATTCTCCTTCCCAGAGGCTAGTGAAGATTAGAAGGCGAAAAAAATGCACTCGTGAAGAAATGTTCTCTGAGCTCATGCTGTCCTCCCACACTGACAGAGCACAGACAAATGTGTGGAGGCAGACAATGTCAGAGTGCAGGAAAGCACAAAATGTCCGGGAGGAGAGGTTGTGGGCTGAAGAGAGTAAGTGGGGGGCTGAAGAGAGGGCTGAAGCTGAAAGGTGGCGGCAGCATGATGAGAGGAGGCAGGATTCAATGCTGAGGCTGCTGGAGGATCAAACTAATGCGCTCCAGTGTATGGTTGAGCTGCAGGAAAGGCAGCAGGAGCACAGACCGCCGCTGCAGCCCCTGTATAACCAACCGCCCTCCTCCCCAAGTTCCATAGCCTCCTCACCCAGATGCCCAAGAACGCGGTGGGGTGGCCTCTGGCCACCCAGCCACTCCACCCCAGAGGATTGTCCAAGCAACAAAAGGCTGGCATTCAATAAGTTTTACATTTTTAAACTTTTAAAATGCTGTGTGTCCT